CTCTTTTCTTCTGATGCCTTCTCGGCGCGCATCCGCAACAACTGTTGGATGCAGCTCCACAACTTCGTAGTCCACTTGCAAGGCTGGCAGGGCGGATCCTCCGAGCGAGTCAAGGGAAACGCGCCTGCTCGACTTGCCTTGCTTCTACGATCGCACTTCAGAAAAAATGATTTCTGACAAGTACATGACGTGCTCGGACCTGAGCATCGTTGGTTACAAGTGCCGTGGTGTAGCAGCACTAGGGCTGCGCTAGCAGAGGATACGTGGAAAAGAAAATGGAAGCTAGTATAGTATACTGGGGTAATATTGGGATAGTGGAAAAGAAAGTGGAAGCTACGGCGCCTGCTCTCTCGGCGTTGTCCAGCAGCCGGCGCCCACTGATTCCCTGTGGCAGGGCAAATCTGCCAATCAGCACCGGCTTTAAAATTCTGCAATTCTTCATGGGTTTGCAAGAAAAACGAGTCCCCCCACCCAAAGAGTATACCCCAAACCCTAAGGACCCCCCTAGCTGTGCAACACCTAGTAGCTTACTGGGGGTTAGTAGGGAACAAGGGAATATAGTACATACGCATTACATAAAGAATAAATTCTAAAAGCCCTACATAAGAACCAGTAAGGTAATTGAAGTAGCCTGGCCCCAGCCAATCTCCAAGATCCTGATCCGACTGAGGCCACGGAGCTGAGCATTCCTGGGTTGCTATCAAGGAACCTAAGTTAAAGTTAGGTTTAGGGTTTAGGGTTTAGGATATTTTGTCCTGCCCCCGCCCATTAAAGTCCAAAGTAGGGACCATATTAAGGGCTATATATATATATATTCACATTATGAATCTTATCCAACGGTTAATGAGTGGGGGCAGTACCCAACGGATATAGGGTTTAGGGTTTGGATCTTTAGTAAACAATGGGGTTTCCTCATTATTGTAACTTAACGTTAATCACCTAACAACAACCCAGGTTCTGCAGGGCCAGATCGAAGCCCACATCAGCCAGGGCATACATGTAGGGCCACTCCCAATCCTCCCACAAACTTAATAACAATGGCAATGCTGATAGCAATAAGAGCAGAATTTTAGGAATAAAAGTAATAGTAATGTAATGATACTACAACTGCTGCTGCTGCTGCTGCTGCTACTACTACTACTACTACTACTCCTCCTACTCCTGCGAACAATAATGAACATAACCAATAACAATGGGCTTGTGCTTGAGCTAGGCCTGGTATACATGCTGCTTTACGACTCCCCCATTCCCAATATGAGAACCACGAAAAAATATACCCATACGGTTACTTGGTTAGCCGTTGGAGCCGTGTTAGTATATAGGGTGCTGCACCCTAAGCCCTAAACCGCCCGTAAGGGGAATATCTAAATATCCCAAAGGCCACCTCAGGCTAGACAAAGCGCCCAAGTAGCCATCCAAAAGCTTCGACAAAGGCTGCCGGAGGGCTTACAGCTGCCGGTTGATGGCTCTAGGGTTAGTAAGGAAGAAGGGAACATATCATATAGAGATAGTAGTAGGGTAAACGAAAGGAACAGGGGAACTACTATTTGGGGTTTAGGGGAGAAGGGAATATATTATAGAGGGACTGTATGGGGATGATATTCCGTTATTCCCTACTAACCCCGCTAAACCCCAAAGCCTACTAACCCTAAACCCCCAAATCCCCAAACCCTAAACACTACTAACCCCCAAGTAAGTTTTGGGGTCGGGTTCTGGGCTGGGGTTGCCTGCATCAGCTGTATTTGCCCCAGTGCACCGCCTTTGAGGTGCAGGTGTTGTCCGAAAGATCCTTGGCTTAGGGTTTAGGGCTGGAGAGGACCAGGATTATACGGGGTTTGTTTATATAGGGGCTATATGGTGTTTATATAGGGTTTAATGAAGGATTTACATAGGGGGGTGTATGTTGCATCTGCTTCTCTGGAAGAATGAACATGTATCCCAGTGGGTGCTTCTTCATGAAGAGTATCCTTTCTGCCCCATCACTCCAGGCTGTGCGTCGTCGATCTCCAGCTGTGTGAAGGCCTTCCACATTTTGTCCTCCAGGCACGAGCAAAGTGAGATACTCTGCGGGTATTCTAGGCCCATTTGAGGCAACCAGAACATAAATCATGAACAGTAAATCGCAGAGGTACTTGTGCCATACTTGTATCGGAGGTCGTTCCTTCGGCATGTTAGAAACGATCCAGCCCAGCGAGCCTTCTCCCTACTTTAGCTTCGAAGTTCCTCCTGTGGAGTCAGAGCCATCCTCTGAAGCTCTGAGGCAACCAAGGAAGCCAAATGCATGAAGTTCAGCTTGCGGTCGATTGGCCGCCCAGGTCGGGTCCCCTGCTTGGCTAGGCTGTGCAGGTCTCCTGGGTGCTTGAACCCGTATGTTTCAAGACAGTACAGTAATCCCCTTCTACACGTGGAGGTACGCAGAAATACCTGCCAAGACTCTGCCGATCCTCTGTCTGGGAAAGCGGAAGAGCATGTCTGCCTGGTGCGCAGCTGGCAAGCCTATTGCTGCGGTCTCCAACGCAGCCAACCTTAGTTCATTGCAGCCACTCGGTACATAGCAGGCAACGAGGCACAAGATATCTCAGGCTAATGCGCCCCAAGTGGCATGTCGGCCAAGCCAGAATGAACCAATGTCGATGCTAGTGTGTCGCCGCATAGATGCATATCACCAAATGCCAAATTGCTTGGCCCATCGGAGGCGATTGCAGCAAGTCCTTTAACCAGAGAGGGTGTGTGGTACAGGTTGTGCGCAACGGTTCTTGCATTTTCTTGTTGCTTACACAAGCTTTTCGCTGCTGCCGTTCCAGGGTTCAGATTTGAAGATGGCCATTCGAAAAACATCGTGCAGACTTATACCTTGCACAAAGAAACTTGCCATTCCGTTGTGATTATCTAATATAGTAGGATGTATACATACATATATGTATATGGGGGTTATATTGGGGTAATGGAAAATAAAACGGAAACTACTACAATACAATAAAGTGTATATATACATATGCGAAGGCATCATCTTCAGGCTCTAGCCCACAGCCTGGTTCTTCTTTTAAACTCTTGTGCTTATTACTAGTACTAGTACTATTACTATTACGACTACTACCACTACTACTACTACCACCACTACTACTACTACTACTACCACCACCACTACTGCCACCACTACTACTACTACTACTACCACCACTACTACTACTACTACCAC